GAAAACCTACTAGAAGTATGTTATTTATTATTATTAAAACTATTGAGACTATAAATTCTTCGATATAATATTTGAACGCCCTCCAAATATATCTCTTCATGATCAGTTGCATGCAATATACATGATATGTTTATTAATTTTATTTTTTTAACTTTTACCAGGCTTTGGAGAAGACATTTTCGAAGGAAGAACTAATAAAAGAATAACACAGAAGTTTACCATCTAGCTCTTCTAGCTGAAAAGCATTATGCCAGGCATTGTCATTACTTAAAACCATTAAATATCTTCTTAGAAACAATTTCGACATTTAAACGAAATCTTTTACGAATGATACTATGATAATCCTTCACTAAATTTTGTGGACAAATCAAATTAAGAAATCACCACTTACTTGGAGGGTCCTTAAATTAGGTTAATTACAGTTTCATGAAAATTATGGAATTATATTTTTATACTTTAAAATTCAAACTGAACTAAAAATGCAATCGTATTATTCTTATATATTTCACAGCATACATTACGCGAAAAAGAAAATAAGAATAGATAAAAACCCTGAAATATTAGCAACAGGAAAACATTTTAGAGTCTCAATAGAGTATCGAAACACACACGCAACCGTACGGCCTTCAGCAATGAGAAAAAAAAAAAACAATACCGCGTATAGTATGTTATTAAAGGCCCGATATGAAAAATATGAAAGAATTCAATTGAGGAAACTTGATGCCTAATTTTATATAACAAAAACATATTCAAGTTTTGCAATAAACTGCGTCTCATAACATTTCAATAAAAAGTAACTAGTCGACGTATACCATCAAGATCTGTGAAAGTGAGAGTGGATGAGGAGTTGACTGTCATGCATCTCTATTCCATATGACTGAGTTATGTCCCTTGATAATTATGCTTACGAAATGACACTGAATAATGTGTTAGTTTTGTACATACTGTAGGATTTTAATTTGTGGAACAGCATTGATTCTTACTTATAAATGCTGTCATATCTGAAAAACAACGTTATTGTCAATTGGAAGATGTATAATTTGATAAATATGTAACTAGTACAACTGTTTTGTGTGGCAATTATAACAACATTAAAGATTATGAATTTACCTGTTTTAAAGAGACAGCAACTAACGACACAAGAAACCAAAGAACTTGTTATAGACATTTGACAATTCATACCTACTAGAAGTGGGTTTCATTGAGTCATTACATTTGAAGAGAGTTATGATCATATCTCTTTAGTTGCATGCAGTATACAAGATATATTTATTAATTGAAAAAAAAAATTGTAATTCAAACTAGAACATAAGCAAACTTAAAATGGTCAAAACATACAGACAGCATCATAGCTTATGGCAACACATCGATCTTTGGGCTAAATAAAAAAAACTTTAAAACATCATGTCAGAACATCAAAACTCAGGCATATCTGGCAAAAGTTCGACTAAATCTGGAATATCATCATGCCCAGTATGGAACCCTCACACAATTGAACAATTTCTTTAAATCGAGATGGTCCAAAGACGAGCTGCCATATATGTCTGTAACAGGTACCATAACATCAGTAGTCCGACAGACATGATAAACTCATTAAACTGACCCACACTACAAGAAAGAAGACTACGCACAAGATTAATAATGTTCTACAAAATAGTACATCAAATCGTAGCAATCCCGTCTGCTATTCTCATACCATCAGACAGTAGAACCAGCTAAAATCATAATTTCACTTTCAGACACATTTCAACCAAAGAACATACATATACCGTACCTTTACCTATACATATACCGTACTTTGAAGGCCGTACCTTGATCTAAAATGGTTTACTTTTATAAATTGTGACTTGGATGGAGAGTTGTCTCATTGGCACTCATACCACATCTTCATATATCTATATAATTAATTTTTTTTCATATACCATAACCCAGTGGCGTTTAGTGCCAATCCACACAGTCGCTGTTTCCCCAGTCGACACTTTCAGAGAACAGCTCACACCAGCTGTTCTCCACAAATCCATTTAACTTATTATTAGCCTATGTACGTAGTTTTAATCACAATTTGAAAAAAATATGCACTTCAAATTCATTTTCAAATTATATTTTTGTGTTTTTGTAAATACATGTATATATATATATATATATATATATAAACAAGTCTAAATTGAAAACAACGTTCAAACCTATGATTGCGTTGGATAAAAACCGCAATTTTTATACGTGTGCATGCAAAACAAATTTCTTGTTAGAGGGGTCTAAATACAGCACAAACAACATTTTCCGAAAGACCAAAAAAGTGAAAAAGTATATTTTAACAAAACACATTTGACTAGCAGGTCTAACAACAAATGTTCTTAAACCCTGCTGACTGCCATTAGCGATTGCCAAATAAACGGATCACCAATGTAATAAATGGATCTTAATTATAAATTTAATACTATAAACAGAAAACAATAAACTTCCGGAAAAGATGATATACCGCAAACAAAAGGTGCAAAGGTTTTTGTACACCATATCCGGATTTCGACAATTAATTAAAATATGTGTCTTTTCAGTGATGTTAGGAATCAAAACGGTATTTGAAATTTATATATATATATATATATGCAATGTTAATTGCAAGACTACAAATGTTGTGTATCTCCTACAGTGTAAATGTGGTAAACAGTATGTTGGCGAGTCAGAACAGCCGTTTCACAAACGAATGAACGGTCATCGTAGCGACTACCAATGCAAGCCAGACCTCCCTCTCAGTCGGCATTTGAGATCCCCTGGCCACACTAAGGCAGATCTCAATAGACTGACCATTACAATCATTGACCACAACTTTGCTTGGTCTAGGGAGGATAGACTCACTCGGGAAAGATTTTGGATAAGAAAATTAACAACTTTGGCACCAAATGGGATAAATGAAAAGATGTAGTTCGACTCCATGCAGTGCTTCACATTTGGGTTATATTACTTTTTATTACAGTCTCTGTTTCTATTTCTTTACCTTACTCATCTCTAAAATAAATCTGTTGAATATACCAATTTAAATTGCTTAATTTTTTGAGGGATGTAAAAGTACCAAGCCACGTTCAACTAGTTAACCTTAGTCAAAATTTATTATTATATTTTAACGGCCGTTTGTTTGCGATGTTTAAATACGCAGACTCTGTAGCTACTCTACCGTTGTCAAATTTGAAATATTTACAAATTTAGATCGTTCAGTGCTGTTTATTTGGAATTCCTATTGACGCAATCGTTCTTGTAACATCATAACTGTCGTCACCGTTAAAGCTTTAGAATTGTGCTAGTTCATATCGCACATTATTATTTTTATTTAAAGCATATATTTGAACTCTCTGTTGTAATTAGTCATATAATCTATGTCGTGTTTAACACATATTTAGAATTGTGCAAGCGTCTTACCTGATGTTCGGTTTGACATTTTTATTGTATACATTTCAAGATTGGTATAGTTTAATCTAAGTAGACTGATATATGATTCATTCAACATCACAATCATATGTACTGATGAAGGATATCTGTTATCCGAAATATTTATAAATAATTACATTTATAGTTCCTTTTTTTGTTATTGGTGTTGTTGTGTACACTTTTTAGGCGTTTATATATATATAATATATATAGGCGAAGAAGAAGAAGAAGCTTACGTTTTTTTCCGATCTAGTTAAGAAAAAACAAATTGAAAGACTTTGTGGAAAAGTACTAATATCAGTAACTGACTCTATTTTAAAAGAGTAAAATCCATGTTATTCCTTTTTATAATATTTTTCAATGTTTACCATAAATGAATGCAGATTTCATAAAGAAACACACAATATTTACAATATTCCATGTTTTTATTCATATAATTGATAAAACTTACATTTAATTTTCGGGAAATTTCCCAAAATATATTAAAGTTTCAAAATATTTGTGGTAAAGATGTATGTGACAACTTTTTATTCGGGAAATGTCCCGAAATCATTTTCAACATTATTATTTATAACATATATGCTGGCAAAGCATTTTGACAAATAGATCTGAAACACATTTCGGGAAAAATCCCGACAAAAATAAACTAAGTGCAAAATGTATAACACAGATGTCTTCAAATATTTCGGGATTTATCCCGAAAACCCAAAGTATATGCTAGAACTCATGACTAATAATTTCTTTTCACATTTCGGGAAAAATCCCGAAATTATAAATCTATTATCAAGCACACACTTGTTGCATAGATTTTTTTACCCATTTCGTGAAAAATCCCGAAATAAAATCTACAAGCAAAATTTATGCTACAGATTTCTTAAACATATTGGGAAAAATCCCGAAAAAACAAAATCGATAAGATTTTACAATACAGAATTTTGATACATTTAGACAGTTTTTATGTTAATTTGTTTCAAACATTTGTTGAAATATTATGATTCATAAAAAATATGTCTTTAACTGAAAAAAAATATGAATTTTGTTTATAAGCATACTTTTCATTACAGTTCCGAAAAAAGTATTTTCTAAGGTTGCTCTCTACTGCATCTCTTTTGTCATGCTTCAGTGATTCCCTATATATAATCAACCAAATTTGTCCCACAAAAGAGGGGGGGCCAGGCCCCCTCTAAATCCGCCTCTGATAAGTGGTCGATTTTAAACTGGCCTAAGCATAAACTTTAACATGTAAACTTTGCAAAAGATTCTTAGTTATTTGACCATGATTGAGGGTTCAAGGTAAAAAAAATCCCCAAGCACATGCGTTGTCCAAAAGCTTATTCGACTGCAAATAAAATATCCCTAACATACTATGAATGGTTCTCCTTAAACTGAACTTATCACAAACCTTACAGTGTAAACTAAGGAAATTTTCAAAGTCAATATACCATTAAGTTACTGAGAGGCTGGTGAGGAGGGCGGTGCTCTATGGGATTGAGATTTGTGTCCACAATCACATTTCCATGTTCAGTAACTTATTTGTAATTATTTAAAGAAATGACTTCATAATGAACACTTGTAAGTACAAAGTTTCAAGTTTATTTGACCTTAACATCATAGTAAACTAATGTACACCATAGCTTAACCTACTGTACTGTTTGTACATCTTGAAAAAAAATGATTGATAAAAACTGGTTTCAACTCATTACTTCAAATGCCAATGAAATTTTAAAATAGGATGTAAAAAAAAAACTAAAACTCAAAAATATTTAATAATATAGCCTCATTTCATTTTCCTAATTTGCACAATTTTTTTTTTGTCACAGAAAAAATGGAAGAAACTATCTTTAATTATATTTTTCTAATTTCTTTGATGTTCTCCACAGCAAAAAAAAATACTGTTCTAAAATAAAATACCTGTACTATATAATATTACAAATACATAACTACGGGTACAAATCAGAGTAGACATGTGAACAAATCTTCATAACATGTGCAATGTTTGTTATATTCAGATGGAATTATTACATGTTATATAAATTGATCTGTTTCTTTACTGATGACTAGTTCTTTCTTCCTTTCAATCCTGCCTATAAGAGCAAAGTAAAATAACATTTAATAAAAGATAACAAAAACATTCTATTCCACTGTACATGCTAAATGTAAATATTAATAGTGAGGTCAACAATTTTGATCATGTTGATAGGTTGAGACTATCACACTTGACATTTATAAAAAAACTTCATTTCCCCCTCTGAACATTTTGATTGCCTTGTGTGACATTTCACACAAAACATGATCATAAGGTACATAACTTTTCCAACATTTTTTTACAATAAAGATAGTATAGCCATTAATTGTTTTCAAAATTATTTCAGTGTAGAGTTGAGTAATCTTTTCCCTTTCTCCAATTGAATGTTACTGGCAACCTGCATTCTTCTATGTAACTTTTTTTCATTTTACAAATACTGATCAAGATTTAAAAGGGGAGCAATATTGAGTTTTCAGAAACTACTGCAACATGTGCAAGTCCATGTGCCTATCCAAAGTCAAGACTTTTCCTGTCATCTAAAGTTGTATCTTAAAGCTTTTGTTTTTAAGGAATTTGATGTTGATAGTAGATGTTTGTTTGTTTTTGGCTTTTCAATTGACAATTGAGATGATTATTAAATTCTACAATCACTTGTTAATCATTTCAAGACAGTTGACCTATAAAAATATGATGAAACCTTTTCAACTGATTTTTATAGTTTGTTCTTAAGTTGTGCTGTAACACCACTGTCCCAGGTTAGGGTAGGGTTGAGCACTCCAAAACTTGTTTAACCTGCCACATTCTTTATGTGCCTGTCCCAAGTCAGGAGCCAATACTTCCATGGAAGTCATTGGTTTTATATGTATGTTATATTTGATTTTCGCTACTTGTTTTGTTATAAATTAGGCCGTTAGATTTCTCGGGGCCTTTTATAGCCGACTATACGGTATGGGTTTTTCTCATTGTAGAAGGCTGTACAGTTACCTTTAACTGCTTACATCCACTTTATTCAAACTTTGGTGGATAGTTGTCTCATTGGCAATCATGTACCATCTCCTTATTTTTATACAAGTATAGGTCAAAACTGCATCTATGCTGTTTATTTATTTTTTCTGTTGTTGAGTTGCATTTCATCTGTACTAAACAGGTATAAATTCTTTCAACAATATGTTTTATCTATGTGAAAATCATGTATTATTTATTCCTTTCAAAATTCTGTGAAAAATAAATGGGGAATGTGTCCATGGGACACAGATGATGCCCCCGCTTGCATATAACATTTTAATGGGTAATAAATCAAGAATGGTAAAAGTGACACACAGTACCCAAATGAGTACTTGATCTGAGTTTTGTGGTACAATGTAATATGCATTGTGTATAAGTTTTTGAACATTTGATTAAGCAAACTTAACTTTTATAGTGAACTAAAATGAATAATCAGCTGCACCATGAGTGCATGATATATGCCCATCACTTTTTCAAAGAATAAAGTTCAATAACTTCTTAATGTCATATCAGAAATTCATGAAAAACTAAAGGGAGGTTATCTTAATAGATACAACCAGTAACCAAAGTTTCATGATAACTGCTCAAAGCATTGTTAAAAAAAACAGGAAAATCCCCCCTTTTTATGAATAAAATCACATAACTCCAAAACTTATAACCTTAAATTGATAAAAATCAAAAGGGAGCTTAAGTCAATAGATATAAACACAATTCACTAAAGTTTCATGAAAACTGCAGAAAGCATTTAGAGTCATTGTCCGAAAACTGGAAATTCACCCTTTTTTAATGAAAAAAAAACCCAAAACTTGGAAACTTAAAGCCTAAAATTTATAAAAAACGAAAGGGAGCACACGTCAACAGATATAACTAATTCACCAAAGTTTCATGTAAATTGGTTCAAGCGTTTTTGATTGTCAGACATGTTCACGACAGACGGATAGACGGACAACGATATACCATAATACGTCCCGTAAACTGGTGTATAAAAATTTGGCAATTTTTCTATTTGTAAAGGGGCATAACTCTAGAACAGTAAAAGTGAGGCCACCAACATTCAAACTTGATCTTTGTTTTGTGGTAATAAGCATTGTGTATAAGTTTCATAATATTTGGTTCAGGCAAACTAAAGTTAGAGAACGGACACAAAAAAAAAAGCAATTTTTCTATTTGTAAAGAGGCATAACTCTAGATCTAGAATGGTAAAAGTGACGCTACCAAAATTCAAACTTGATTTGTGGTTTGTGGTAATAAGCAATGTATAAGTTTCATAACATTTGGTTGAGGCAAACTAAAGTTAGAGAACAGAAACCAATTAATGGGACGTACAGACTTACACCGGTAAATTATTAAGTCAGGGATTTAGTTACCATAAATTTACTTAAAACTTTTACTAAATTCTTTCATAGATACAAAGATTTGATTAGTAAATTTGGCTGTACCTGTAGAAAACTTATAAAAAAAGGTATTTCACATCCTAAATTTTACAGTAATATTGTACTAAAAGCATGGAAATCACTGTGTGATCCATATAAACTCATTGAACCTAAATTAAACAAACTTATTAGTAAAGGTTATCTTACAAATGTTGTAATTAGATCTTTGATTATAGTTTACATTACCACAAATAAAGATTTTGTCATCAGCAAATTAAAACATAACTAAATTTGTATTTTTTTTAAGTGGGATGTATAAATACAAATCCACATTAATTTTTTCTATATAGAGGTTAACATAACTATCCTACAGCCTGTCGATACTTTTATTTTTGGCATTGCACAAGTCATGTCTTATTTGACTGTCCATGCATGATATTAAATACTAAATCCCTGGGATGTGTTTTAGTTGATTTTAGTCTCTGATGCATGATTTTTTTATTATTAATTGATTAATTTTGGCTTTTAACTAGCTTTCAGTATACGTAACTGCGAGTACTCTCAAACCGTACTTCCATGTTGACCTGTTGATACAATCGCAATATTTTTTGTTATTCATTGTTTCTCTATTTTTTATATATATATATATACCAGCTGCTTTGATAAGTGTTTAGTATGACTTTAAAATTTTTACTTCTGTTTCTCGTACTATGAACAAAAATTATTTATTTTGTAAAAAAAATTTCCATTTATACTGTGTCTTTCTATGTTGTGATGTTACACTATTGTTTCGGGTAAGGGTGAAGGTTGGTACCTATTAAAACGTTTAAACCCGCTGCATTTGTTTGCACCTGTCCTCAGTCAGGAACCTGATGATCAGTAGTTGTGGTTTGTTGATGTGGTTCATAAGTGTTTCTCGTTTCTCATTTTTTATATAGATTAGACCTTTGGTTTTCCCATTTGAATGGTTTTACACTAGTCATTTTTGGGGCCTTTCATAGCTTACTGTTCGGTGTGAGCCAAGGCTCCGTGTTGAAGACCGTACTTTGACCTATAATGGGTTTTTTTTTACAAATTGTGATGGAGAGTTGTCTCATTGGCACTCATACCACATCTTCTTATATCAAACTACGTACAGATGTACAAGGGTAAAACTTAATGCCCCCTCCGCTACGACGGGGCATAAAATCAAAGCACTGTAAGCGCTGTAGGCAGTTAACCAAAAACCAAGGCAAACGTAATTATAAAACTGTGGCAGTTTTGCTTCAATTTTTTTTTAAGATTTCAAAGAACAAACATTAAACATTCGTATATTGTACATTTATGTTCATTAAAAGAATTGATTATTTAGGCAAATTAATCAATATTTCATCAAGGTTTTCAAAAGCAACTCATATATCAATGTAAATGACCCCCATCTTCACCCCCAAGTGCATGATGTTACTCCATACCAAGTTTGGAATAAAATGACAGGTGATTATAAAACAGTTGGTCAAACATTCTCGGGCTTTACACTGCTTGAAAGATTTATATGTTTTCTTTAAAATGAGCCATAAATGAAATTTATTATAGGTCCAGAAATAATTTAATAAATAATTAAAGTAAATTCAATTAAACTAGACTCATTTTTTGCATCATTAAAATTTTATAATAAACAAGAAATAATTGTAACAGGATGCCGTTACGAAGTCTCCCAAACAAAGCCCCCATAATTCGTCATTCCTATGGTCTCCTGACATTGGGCAAAGTCCAGATCATATTGGTTTGGTCTAGTAAAGTGATATGCATATGTGACACCTAGGAGATTGGCCCTGTATGTCATTCAAATCTTTTTGACATGATGAACAGGAATAAATATGGTTTAGGTGTGGGTATCTCGACCGTTTACAAGTTCTCAAACAGGAGGGGGTGGGGTGACCCCAGGGACTCCCCCTTTATTTCATTTGATTTGTTATATTGTCCCATACATGAATACATATGGTTTAGGGGTGGGGATCTCGACCATTTCCAAGTTCTCAAAGAGGAGGGGGTGGGTGACCCTAGGGACTCCCCAAATATTTCATTTGATTTGTTATATTGTCCCATACATGAATATATATGGTTTAGGGGTGGGGATCTTGACTGTTTACAAGTTCTCAAACAAAAGGGGGTGGGGTGTCCCCATGGACTCCCCCTATATTTCATTTGATTTGTTTTATTGTCCCATACATGAATATATATGGTTTAGGGGGGGATCTCGACCATTTCCAAGTTCTCAAACAGGAGGGGGTGGGGTGACCCGAGAAACTCCCCATATATTACATTTGATTTGTTATATTGTCCCATACATGAATATATATGGTTTAGGGGTGGGGATCTTGACTGTTTACAAGTTCTCAAACAGGAGGGGGTGGGGTGACCCCAGGGACTCCCCCTATATTTCATTTGATTTGTTTTATTGTCCCATACATGAATGTATATGGTTTAGGGGTGGGGATCTCAACCATTTCCAAGTTCTCAAACAGGAAAGGTTGGGTGACCCCAGGGACTCCCCATATATATTTCATTTGATTTGTTATATTGTCCCATACATGAAAATATATGGTTTAGGGGTGGGGATCTCGACCATTTACAAGTTCTCAAACAGGAGGGGGTGGGGTGACCCCAGGGACTCCCCATATATTTCATTTGATTTGTTTTATTGTCCCATACATGAATATATATGGTTTAGGGGTGGGGATCTTGACCATTTCCAAGTTCTCAAACAGGAGGGGGTGGGAAAACACTGGGAACTCCCCCAAATTATTTTCATTTGATTTCTTTTATTGTCCCATACAAGTATATATAATGTTTAGGGGTGGGGATCGCAACGGTTTACAAGATAAAAGTACATTTTCAAATTAAAGGGAGTTGGGATGACCCCCAGGGACTCACCTTATATTTTAGTTGATTTTTTTTTATTGTCCTGTTCTCATTACTGAAGACTGCATGTGTCTATCACTTACTGTTTTCGAGAAATAGTCATTTGAAAATTTAAAAAAATAAATCCCATAGGGTTCTATAGTAAACCCCTCCCTTCTTCAGGCAACTCCAAATACCCCTAAATAGACCCCAATGCACAAACAAAAGATTAATGGCTCCGCTAGACATGTTAGTCTAATATTTTATGAAACCCTAAGTAAATCTGACAAATGGTCAAAGTTGTCTTCTTAGACGGTTTGAGTGGATTCGGTCCGACTTGTCTCGGGGACGAGTTGTCCACATTACTTAAAACATCCCATCAACGTCGATTTCCACATCCTATCATGACCTCGTCTCATTCATAAAATAGCAACCACCTTATTTGGCAAGATAAGTTAAAAATTACCGCCCATTTATATATCTTTATTTCCTCTATCATAGAGATTTGTTGTACATGAACAATATTCCTGTGCATTTTGCCATTTGCGAAATATAAACGACTTGTAATTACCGATTTTCGGCAATGAAATATTTCATACAATTATTCCTTGACATCGTAGCCAAAAGCACAGGGGATAATAAACTAGGTACGGATTTCTATTGAGTACTACTTCCTATGTGCAACTTCAAAAGTTTTGGGTAGTTCGACGATCATTTAAGGTTTTTCTGGTGCTATTTTTGGTATTCCAGAAATAAAAGTATTAAAAAAATGTCCAATTAGTTATGAATAACATAATAGCCAGCTAGATAATAACAATGGCACACATTTCAGCATTTATTGGGTAGAACACAAATCTAGGGTGCACGCATAGGCACCTTAACTGCCTAAAAATGCATATATATATATATAAAGCAGCAGGACTCTTATTAAGACTGAATATGACAGTACCTTATTCTGCATTCTTTCATCTTTAACCATTTATACTAGTTCTTCTGGGTATCTCCTGATTGTTGTCATGAATTTAGGTTCTTCATTTCTTTTACATATAGGCAATTTTGGTAAGAAAGCACCATATTTCAAGCTAAGTGTATCCATGGTTTGTCCTGGGTGTATTTTGATAAAAATGATAAATGTTGACTGCATCTTTTGGTGTCTCTCTTGTAAAACAATAATGCAAAGTCTCTGTGTGTTGTTTAAAATTACTAATCATAGGAATTAACCAGTAACATATATTGTATTATAATTTCACTTTTTAAACATCTGGAATAATCCTGAACAGTGACTGCACAGTTTCAGCATCCTTTGTTCTTAATTTTTCTGATATTAGCTGAAAGCAGGATCAATATCTCCATGTGTGTGGCCAACAAGTACGAATGACCAGAGAACCTGAAAAAAAATATCTGTTGAGTTCTTGACTAGTATCATTTATTTATCCATTAAAGAGGTAGAGCTTAATGTTAGAATTTTGAAAAGTGGAAGCAGTATAAATACTTTCAATACACTAAAATATGTAATAAATAAAACAAGAATGTGTCAATGAAACACAGATGTCCCGGCCTGCTTGTAAATATATCTCAAATTTATCAATTTTTTTTTATTAATAAAGTAACATAATATGAGAATGGTGAAAGAGACGACACCCAAACTTGATCAGTGTTTGGTGTTAATAAGCATTGTGTATAAGTTTCATAACACTTGGTTGAGGCAAAGTAAAGTTAGAGTGCAGTTTGGGTTTTGAACTAGTACCATCAGATTAGTATGTACTGTACTGCAATAAAAAAAAAACATGAATCAATATCCATTGATATTAGGGAACTTGAAGTAATTGAAACCAAACCTACAGACTAATGACAGCCAGAAACAACTATCCGTCAGAGTTAAAATGAAGTGGATGTAGGCAATTATAGGCAATCGAACATTTCTTCAGAACCCTAAGTTTGTACATGTCCGGCCCTTTTATAGCCAACTATATATACGGTATTGGTTTTCAATTACTTCAAGTTCCCTGACATTGATTCATGTTTTTTTTATTGCAGTACAGTACATACCGGTACTAATCTGATGGTTTATGAGAGCACAATTAATACAAAGACAACAACATGTTTATCAAAATATCATTTTCATTTTGTTACTTAATATTCTAAAACCACAGAAGAAAAATAAATTTCCATATCTTGCCCTGTTAATGAGTTTTGATGAAAATAAGTTTTAAAATTATTCATCAAATACACAGGATAAGAACATGTGGGTAGTGCTCTGTGGTTAAATAATTGACTCATTTTCATAGGTTTATGACCACTGACCAGCTATAATAATAATGGCTATAGAAAAAGAGGTGTATAATTAAACAAGTGTTTAGAAATGAAGAAGATAATGAACTTCAAAGAAAAATACATTTTTATATTAGAGCTGCCATGAGAAAAAACATATAATAAATTTTATAGCAATAAGGGAATCAAAATATTAATGTAAAAGCATAAATCAAATATAGTTAAGTACAACATTTAATAATGTTAATGTTAATAAAATTTCTATAATATAACAGATTTTCTTGAGAATTTCTAAAATATATGAATTTATGAGGGCTAGGATCCCGCTAACATGTTTAACCCTGCCACATACTGTATGTATATGTGCCTGTCCCAAGTCAGGAACCAGTAATTCAGTAGTTGTCGTTTGTTGTTCGTTCATTTTTTTTGTACATTAATTAGGCCTTTGTTTTCTCGTTTGAATTGATTTACATTTGTGATTTCGGGGCCTTTTATATCTGACTATGCGGTATGGGCTTTACTCATTGTTGAAGGCTGTTCTGTGACCTATATATAGCTGTTAATTTCTGTGTCATTTGGTCTCTTGTGAAGAGTTGACTCATTGGCAATCATACCACATCCTCTTTTTTATATGTACACCTTACAATCATTCTATACATCAAATATAGTTGACCTATACTGCTTTAAGTATTTTAAAAACAGACCAAAACACAAAAACTGAACAATTGACCAATTAACCATGAAGGAGAGGTCAAAGTCAGATGATACCTACCAGACAGTCATGTAAGCCTTACAACCATTCCATACACCAAATATAGTTAAGGTACTGCTTATAGTATTTGAAAAACTGACAAAGACACAATACCTTAACATTGAATACTGAACCATGAAAAAGAGGTCAAGGATGAAACCTGCCAAACTGACATGCACCCCTTACAATCATTTCATACACCACTTATAATATCTGAAAAAGAGTGCACACGCTGAAATGTCTTGCCTTCTGTATTAACCATTGATTTTATGTTGATAGTCCTAAACATAAAGCTTTACTACAAGTTTCATATGAACTTAACATGATCCAAGAAAATGAGGCCAAGATCAGATTAACCAATAATAAGAAATACATGTACACCTTACAATCATTTAATTCACCAAATATAGTTGACCTATTGCTATAGTTTTTAAGAAACAGACTTAACCAAGAAAACTAAGCATTGACCAATGAACCATGAAAATGAGGCCTAGGTCAGATGATACATGCAAGACAGGTACAATCCTTCCGTACAACAAATATAGTTGACCTACTAAGTATTTTTTATAGTTTAAGAAAAACAGACCAAAACACAAAAACTTAACACTGAGCAATGAACCATGAAAAAATTAGGTCAAAGTCAAATAAAACCTGCGAGACTGACATGTTGATCATAAAAAATGTCCATACATCAAATATAGTTGACCTATTGCATATAGTATTAGAAAAAATTTGTAAGGGTTCCGCGGAACCCAGTGTCTCGCCTACCTTTTCTGTTAATCGCAGGCTCAACAAAAATGAGGAAGTAAATCAATAAAAATATTCCTCTTGATACTATCTTCTGATTGTAAGAAGCTTCTGTCATAAGTTTGGTAAAAATCCAGGATAGTTTATGAATCTAATAAATGTTAAAAAACTTTAACTGGAAGAAAACAAAATTTCCTTCTAGATACTATAGCATTTGATCATAAACAAGGTTCGTCCAAGTTTGGTACAAATCCAATATAGTATAAGAAATTAATTAAGTTATTAAAATTTTAAAAACTTTAACCACAGAGTGAATAAAATTTTCTGATGACAGCCGGACATTTTTCAAGGAAATATTTTCAAGTCTGGAATAAATGACCGTTTGGAAGCCATGGTGCACAGTATTTCCTATTAAAAGAAATATGTTGCAAAATATGCAAATTTGAAACTATTTGTGGAAAAATAGGAATTTTGCTATCTTTCAATCATAAAATTTCATAATATTTTAAAGATCTGAATTTAACTTACTATTCACAACTGTTGAAAAGTAATTCTATAGTGGTGTAAACTGAACTGTATCTGTTTAACCCTGCTTAATTCTATATATATGTACATGTACAAAAAAAAGAAGATGTGGTATGATTGCCAATGAGACAACTCTCCACAAGAGACCAAATGAGACAGAAATTAAAGGTCACTGAAGGCCTACAACAAAGAGTAAAACCATGTTATATATGTGCCTGTTCAAAGTCAGATGCCTGTAACTCAATGGTTGCTGTTGGTTTATGTCTGTCAAATTTGTTTTTCTTTTATTGTTTTGTAATAAATCAGTCTATATTTTGCTCTGCATTGTGGAAGACTATACAATGACAACATGTGGTGTCCTTAAGTTAATTCTACTTCATTTGGCAATCATACCACATCTCCTCATCTTATATTTATCTAGGTGTTAAGTGGTCAAAATTACTCTAAAAAATTTCAGACCATTTAGAATAAGCTGAGCCTGTCAAAGCTATTCTGCATATAAAATCCTGAAATCCAAGTACATGTATAAAGAGCGTAAGAGGGGACGTACAGACAGAGAATATTACAATAAATTATCTCTAAAAAATTTCAAACTTTGAAAAAGATAGCTCTCCCATTTATATCTTAAAACAAGAGGCTCTCAAGAGCCCTAATCGCTCACCTGTAACATTTTGATGAAAATCTTTCATCAATGATTATTTTTGCCATTCAATATTTATTAATGAGTGGCTTAAAAATGCCATTTAAATGTTCTTTGTATCTGTCATATTTTCTTGAAAAGTAAAAAAAATGCATTTTACCCCTATGTTCCATTATAGCCATAGTGGCTATGTTTTTGACGTGCAAGGAAATAAAATAAAAAATTTATACTAAATACTCTGAAACTCATTCAGCCCTAGTTTGGCTCAAAAAAATTCAGCAGTTTCAAAGCAGAAGATTTTTTAAAGTAAGGCAAGCAAACTAGATGAACAAAGTGTGAAAAATTGTCTTTAAAGGGCAATAACTCCTTAAAAAGAGGTCAATTGACAATTTTGGTCACATAAACTTTTTTGTAGATCTTACTTCGCTGAACCTTTTTTTATCTTTATCTTCAATAATATTCAAGATAATCACTAAAAACTGCAAAATTTCCTTTAAATTACCAATTTAGTGGCAGCAACCTAACAATGGGTTGTTCGGTTCAGCTGAAAATTTCAGGGCTGATAGATTTCACCTATTGAACATTTTTACCCCATGTCAGATTCACTCTAAATGCTTTAGTTTTTGAGATATAAGCCAAAAACTGCATTTGACCCCTATGTTCTAGTTTTAGCCATGGCAGCCATGTTTGTTGATGGATCAAAACTTCGGATACAATTTATAAACTAGATATACCTTAAGGAACATTCAGGTAAAGTTTAGAAGTATTCGGCCCAGTTGTTTCAGAGCAGAAGATTTTTAAATGTAAGCAAACATGATGAACAAATTGTGTAAAATTTAAAGGGCAATAATTCTTATATGATTTGCATATCATTTAATACTTGAATTGGATTGGTGAATTAGATTTTTGTCCTTAGTTTACACTTGATAAACCATGTTTCCGAAACGACTTTCGTAACCAGTTCACTGTGATCTATTCATGCGCGATACACATGCATGCAGGGATCCCGGGATTTTCAGCAAATTGAGATTGAAAATACATAAAATTTGTTTCTATTCAATGCATATTTAACAAAAAAGAAATAATGCATTAAAAAGCTTCTAAAATGTATAAAATTAAGATTTAAATAAAATTCCGTGAAATTTCATGAATGATTTAGTAATTTTACATCATGGCAAAATACGACGTCATACAAATGAAAACTTAAAAGGGAAAGATTATTTCACTACTTGTATGCTTCAAATTTGAATTATTTCTCATTAAAATGAACTTTTTGATGTAGGTGCCATTTCATTTCAAACTGTAGGAGGAGTGATCCTGAAAAGCTATGCACCTCTTATGCAAGTAAATACTCCAAACATGACAAAGTTCAACTATCTTGTAAAAGAGCAAATATCAATAAAAATCAAAACCCTGACCACATGCACATCTTCAATATATGTACAAACCGCCAGCAAAGTGAAAACTTCCTAGCATTCAAACTGTAGGAGAAGTTATCTGGAATAACTATATACCCATAATGGGACAGACGAACGGACGGACAGGGGTAAAATAATATGCCCCCCCCCCAACTTTTAATTGCGATAGGGGGGGGGGGGAGGGGGGTGCAAAAAGAGTTATACACTTAAAAGTTTAAAATACTATTGAAAGATCATAATTTAAATTATTCATGTTTACATAGAAGTCAGAGTATTATATTTGTGTTGTGTTGTTTTGTTTCTGTATCATATATACAAATGTACTTACCATCCATTTCTTTCATTTTTTTTATATCTATTTAACCAATTTTCCATATATATATATAGAGATCAAAACCATAAAAGATATTTCTGGTGATTGAGAAATCAAATTTTATATGCTGGTATATATATTTATCTTACCTCCTATACATTTCTAGGAAAGTGATTGGTTAAAAGCAACCGCGTGGAGACCATGTATATTCCATATTAGGTTAGTAAGCGGGGCTTATTTCAATACATGGTCAGTAGTGGTGTTATGTCCCTTTATTAAAACAAAACTGTACTGAGAAAAAATCTTAAAGGTTTCAACAGACGAACAAACTGATGATGAAAGATTGAAATAAATTCATAAAACACATTTAAAGCTAACAAGTTGTTATTGTTGGCATATTTTTTTGTATGACCAATGGAAGTTGTTTCTTAATTTTAACGGTATTGAAGACTTGCTTACTTTGATAGGTCACTAGTCTAAATACCACATGTTAAGATAGTCGGTAAGATAAATTCGTTACATAGTGTGCTAGTGACGTAATACGGTATATATGGGGTCAGTAAATACCATATGGGGATTCGAGCGAATCCCCATATAGTATTTACTGACCCCATATATACCGTATTAGGTCACTAGCACACTATGTAACTAATAGTATTATCAGAGAACAATTTAGAATATGGACAACATAAAATATTTTTTATCTTTTCATTGGAATGAATAGTGGAATATATATATCATAATGGAGAGTATGGATGGGGTTTACAGAATAGAGAATAATTGACAAAAAAGTGCAGAATAAAGGGCAAACAAATCAAGAATAGAGAAACAATTGCAAAAATAATACAGAATATTGAATAATGGGGCACACAGATATAGTGAATAGAGATAATATAAATGGGCAAAATAAATATTGAATAGAGAGGAAAATGGTCTAATATTTAAAGAACAAAGACATAAAGGACCCCCTCAGTCATCCAAACCCTCATTTAGCAGAAGAGTAAAAAAGATAAAAATCTACTTTCAAGGAGTGTATTATATGTGGACTTTTTCAAACAATTTCATACATTCCCCATATCTTTAACTATTATTATATTACCAAATACTTACATCTGTCCATTATTATGTTGTCTTTAAGGTCACATTGCATTTCAAGCTGCGATGTTCAATACTTGCACAGTTGTACACCTAGAAAAAAAAAATTTCTGCAAAAATAAGATAAAACAGTCTTGTGAAACTTAGGCAAACTGTCATACTAGTATATAGATACAGAATCGTGTGACTTTCTAACAGAAAATTTACATCACATCAATGAGAAATTGCAAAAAGGAAATAAAATTATTCATTTGTCACTTTCTTTGTTGATGATACATGAGGGCATTAGCCGCCTTATTTTTACATGTTTACAAATCAGTATCCAGGAGAGCAGTAAATATATAGAGGCTCTGCACCCTCCCCCTGAAATTTTGCACCCTGGTGCTCTTTAGGGAACCAGGTGCTTTTTTCAAGTAAGGAAAGAGTTTAAATATTATCTATCATGATGCCTTAATCATCAAAAAGAATGCAGGACAAAATTTTTCATCCTAGCCCACCCATAAAAATCAAATGGTTAGCTCCCTAATAAAAGATGATTTAATTGATCATTGAAATGTGTGTCAGAATGAGAACTTCTCAATGTTCATTTCTTTAGGAATATTTATTACCCTAAATTAATGTTTTTATTGTCATTAAGTGACTGACACAGTACTGAGGATAAAATTTTCATATCTCTTCATTTATACCTACAAATTCTTATGATGTTTCACATCATGCACTGGGGGATTAAAACCCATGAAATTGAAATTTTTCACACATAATTGACTAAAAGTAGTAATTGGGAATGTAATCATGTAATAATGTTTTTCACAGTAGGCAGTTTAACCAAACTTCAGATAGACGAGACATAATAAATCTATTATACTATAAACACAGCATGCACAGGACATGTGATCCTACCATAATGATGAACTGAGTATATACTGTCGGGGGACTCCCTTTAACAAATAATGCGAAGTTAAAATTTTGTTATTTAGATTCTGTGAATTTTTAAAATTTAAAACATTCTTAGTTTGTTGCAAAAAAATATAATTTATAAAATTATACTTAATCATCTGCAGAATTTTTTTATTAATGAAAAAAAAAAGAATTAGCATAAATGATCAATCTATAAACATGATAAAGATTATAGTCGATCCGGGTAATTTCGTACAGGCAGGTAAATACAATACATATTACATTTCGCTTGTTTATCAAACACTGGGAACCAAATGACTTTCATTTAGGACGAAAGTGTCCGGAATTACTCGCACGACTCTAATGTAAGATCAACCTCCTTGGTAAGATATGTACATGCATTCATACACTGGGGCTCCAGTAGGAGTTTCACCCTAAGGTCACAAGGCTTTTGACCTTAAATGAATGGTGTCTAGAAATTTCTCCAGGTTACTTTTAAGCAAATAGAACAGTTTTGAACATTTAAAAAATCCCAAGTACATGTAAATATTCAGGGGTGTTGAAATATATGTTGTGAGCACTTGTCCGTGGGCAAGTAAAACTGTAAATTTAACTTGTCCGTAAAAAAAGTTACTTGTCCTGAAAGTCCCAATAAATATTGAAGTATTTTACTGTTAGCTTGTATGATTCTTAGAACTGTTTTGCATTACAATATAAATGAAAGTCATTGTGTTTATGTGTTCAAATAAAAGAAGGTAATGGGTTAACATCAATGGGACAGAAACCCAACAGCAAACCAACCGAATGAAATGACACTTAAGAGGACAATTTTGCAGCAATATTTAATTATAAATTCTAGCCAGTAGGTACATATATACTAAATTTTGAGGACAGTGAGTGAAGAAATGAAAACTAATAATAGATTAACTACTGAATTTTATTTGTTTCTCTCAACTGCTTGGCTTTTTCTTGATAGTTAATGGGCAATTAAGGTGTCCCTTCTATCTACCACTTTGCCAACAAATAAGGTTGACTTTTGATAGGCAAGGGTCGGATGCTGTCTACAAATTATACAAAAATTCAATTTATTTTCTGAATTTTCTTCCCTAGATAGCCAGGGGGAATCTGATACCCACGGTGTCTGAAATGCTCGCTTCCGATTTTTTTTTCATACTTCTTGTCCTTCTCCGTTTGCGTTTTACATTTTCTACACGACTCGTCACTCTTTTTGTCTTGATTGCCCTGTATTTTTATTAAGTATTTTTCAGAAACTCGATACAAAACTAAAGCAATGACACTTCCGTTAAATGATGGATATATCCTAATCGACGATCCCAGGTCAATGCCGACAAAGACAATGCAATGTTTACGTGACCCTGGTTCACATACTTATTTTTTTTTTTTAATTTTGGTAATCGATCTATTTCTGTTATTTCCCTACTGAAAATGTAAAGTGGGATTTCACTGAAAATACCAGTGGAGTTCCATCAGAGTTCCATTGGAATACCACTGTATTACCACTGGGAAATTTGGTCGGGATTTTCATTGGACATTCATTGTTTTCCATTGGGATATCAGTGGAATATCCAGTGGGATTCCGGTGAATACTCGAGTGGAATACAGTGGAAATTCCATTGGAATACCAGTGAAAACTCCGTTGGAATACCATTGTTTTCCCACTGGACATTTATTGTTTTCTACTGGGATACCAGTGGTAATTCCATTGGAAATTGTAACAATCAACCAAAGAAAACCAGTGATATTTCAATGGAAATTGACAATTCCACTGAAATGTTAGATATCATTTTGCATGCACTGCTTATTTTTGAATGAATTAATAAGAAAACTTGAAATAAGACAATAACCATTTTAATGCAAGTCAACAATTAAAGAAATTACAACAGTTTGATCTTTTAAACGAAAAGATCAACCTCTTTAAAATATTAACGTTGATAAATTATCATTTTTTAGTCAAAGATGTATATACTTAATTGTACATGTAAATCATTTTTCTGGTTAAATCATTCATAAGTCCATGGTAACTTTTGGTCCTCTTGAAATCTTTCACAAATGGTTTTAATTTTCAATTTTACAAATTAGTTTATTGTGCATTAAACAAACAAAAATGTCCAGTTTACATGCATACGAAATACTTTGTCAGTTTGGTCAGTTTTCTTTATCATCCATTGATATTATTCATGAATTAAGTCCAAAGTTTCTGCATTCCAATCCTGTTCCATTAAGTCTTCATTGATTAATCTGAAAGAAAAAAAATCATACATCATAACATGCATAGAATTTTGAATTTAAAATAACATTACAATACCATGCTCCAGTCTGCAATTATTCAAAAATATATGTTACTGGCATATTTTATTTGTGTTTGTGTGTAATTTATTCACAACATTTATACACTAAGAGCAATTTAGACACATGTATGTCTATTGTTGAAGACTATGTATTCTCTAGATATCTTTGGGCCTTTGGCTATAGTTGTTGGGTTGCTGTCTTTTAGACTTATAACACACATCTCTTTTTATCAAAATAGACTTTTATTGTTCATGGATCAGGTGTCTCTCAAAGCCAAATAAAATAGTATGTGTGGTTCCAGTTACATTTAAAAAAAAATTAGGGTAGGTAGGTAAGAATTTTTTTTATTTTATGTTTTTTTTTTACATTGAGTCTATCATGTTTATGGGAGCAACATTCTGACTTAAACAGTACTAACTGAAAAATGACAAAAAAATCTTTAGGGTAGGCTATTGTTAAGACTAAAAAAAAAGGTAGGTAAGGTAATTGGAACCACGCATATATTTTTATTTAGCCTCATATTATCTTTCCCTTTGTGTTGTGTTTCTTGTTGGTTTACTATCTGGTTGAAGCATACCAGACACCTCATTTTGTTCACATAATAGCCATGATTAACCATTGTGCATGATGATCAGATCAATGTTTTTGAGATGTGTTTACAGCTTATAGATGTGAATGATTAACATGATTAATGTATTTTTATTTCAAGTGTGGGAAGGATGAAAAAATAATTCGATAAGTACCTTTCAATAATCTTATACTCAAATTTCTTTTCTGCTGCTGGTTCGTTTGTTTTCATCGTGTTTTCATATTATTGAGTGGATATTGATCGATGCACAGTCATCATTTTTGCAGCTTTGTACCTTCACCATGATCAATCCCTTTTAATATATGGACAACCTAAAAAAAAATGTAAAAACATTTTATTAATAATTTTTAATTCTGGTCATGACCTGTATGCATCATGTATTACTGATATTTATCATACAATGTACATATATAATTAAGAAGCTTCTTTCAGTTAAGTATAAAGACTCTAAAACACAATATTAACCTTTAGGGATTTTTTGTGTTGCATGTCCATCCAAATCAGAACATGACAAAATTAAGTTGAATGTGCCTGACATTGTGAAGGAAACTGTAAACATCTTTCCTTGATTGTGAAGGCACACAATGTAAATCAATATTGAATAATAAAATTATTATTACATTCCCACCTCCCCCTTTTCAGAACACCAAATGGTCATCCTCAAAGTGTGAACTAACAGAGCCCATGAATGAAACTAAAGGGGGTGTATATCTTTTTTTTTAATTTTAATTAAAAATATTCATGATGTAAAAATCAAATGTAAAATCTCTTAAAAATTACCTGTATCTGCTGTACATGAACGTCTGCCCTACATCAGCACATCGTCTCATCGTAAATTCTTGGTTCAACAGCTAATGTCATACCTAAATGTTCTGCCTTTAATGTCTATTTCTTTATTAATCGAAGGTTGTTGAGTATTAATTATTGTTAACATGATTAATGTAACCACAGCTGGACAATGCTGGACAGGATACATACTCGTACAATATTTTTAGTTTCAAATTTGAACACATTCCGTGTATTAATGATAACGACTATCTGATTGGCCGATCGGAAATCCCGGAAATAGAGTTATCCAATCAAATCAGCGGTTATATATATAGTCTGGTAGAAAAAATGGCAGCCTCCATGAATGTAAACATGTGTGTTGAAAAACAACATTATAGACTACAGTTTCACGAATTTTCTGCTCAAATTATGCCAAAACACTGACATTTAGCGTACAATTGATTGGAGCGGATTATATGTGAAATGTTTCTATAGATTAACTTCTATGACCCGAGTTCCAGTGCCGAGTTCAGGACATGAAAATGATGAAAAATTCATCACACCGACAAAGTTAAGATACCGAAACAGTTTATAGAACAATGTGGAAAATGAAAGCCGTTCACTTTACTTTTCTCAAACGAACAGTAGACCAGTAACAGTTAATGAACATGATGAAGTCAAAGGAGAAATAATTATATTATTGTATACATGTAGACTGTAGTGCAGGGCAGTTGCCAGTACGGTCACTTGAAGAAAAAAACGGAGTTATCCTAACAATTCGTACAGTCTGAAGATAATTTCTGCAACAGATCTGTTTAAAACGGCCCTTTTAAGAGCCATGCACATTTTTCAAAAAGAATCTTAATTGTTTTTGTTCGTTAAATCAAACAGAATCTTATTCTCAACCCAATTTGATATAAAATATTCATTTCTTTATTTATATTATCTGATTATTGCACATTTAATTTTATTTCTTAATAGTTAAAATGTATCCTTTCAATGTGTCATACTCATAGGCTATATGGTGATGCATTATATTCACCCTACATCTGAGGAGCTACCATTTTACTTATTTTATATGGGGGGGGGGGGGGGGGTCTTTCAGACCAAATGATTTTTTTTATTTGTTACTAGGCAAGTGATTTCATATTACATTTAACCATGTAACATTTTTTGAACAAATGTTTCATATACATGTATATATGTAGGTTTATGAAATATTCATTACATCCCATATATTATCATGATTATAATATTTAATTTCTTATCAGGCCAGCAAATTATATGTTACAAATTAAATCCTTTATATAATAATCATGCACTTAATTATTTGAAAAATTTAAATTAGAAGTATATATTCCTTTAAATTTCTAAGTCCAAAATTCCACTGGAATATTTGCATTACATCAAAACTCCACTGAAATATAAACAATAATATTCCACTGGAAATTAATTGGAAAATCTTTGGAAGTTTCATTGGAAATTTCACTGATTTTCCATTGGAATTACAGTGTGAAAAATATTCCAGATGTTTTGGATGAAATTCTAATGGGATTCCATCGGAATATTTTTTTCCACTGAATACCAGTGTAATTTCACTGGAAATCCAGTGGAATCCCGTACTCATTTTCAGTAGGGTTAATATTCATCGTCATGAACATTGATGTTTTGACTTAAATATATGTTTTTACTCTCTGATCGTTGGTTTCTTTTACATGAAATTAAACATCTTTATAAGTTTTGAAAATAATTCTTTATTTTTGTTTGAACTAAACTTTGTCATGTATATTTTTTTACTTGTCTACGGGCAACTCAGACAAAATAAATTACTTGTCCGGGTGTTCAAATGTACGAGTCGGGCGAGTCGGGCATAGCATTTCCACACCCCCGATATTAATAAGACATAAGATGGCTCACCAACAATGTATTAAAAAAATTTCAAAGAACAGATATATACATACAGAATAAAAGTGACAAGCCATTTTTACATTTTCACTTGGGGTTTGTGTTGATAGTAAAAAAAGGTATTGTAATCGACTAATAATGGATTGTTGAGACTTGTTATCAGGTTATATGTCTATACATTGTAGAAAATTGTAAATATGGAAAAAAAAAGATTTTTTTTTAAGTGGGCCCAATAAGGAGGGTCCATGCCCCAAATACCTGTGATGTAGATGAATAGAAAATAGGGATTTTGTGCAAGTAAAGCCTAGATTTTTGTAAAAAAAAACACAGACTTTTAATTAGTTTTATCTATTACAGATTTTCATTATAAAATTTAACTTACTTACAAGTATTATGTCCATGTCAGCATTTATCGTTTACAAAAAGTCCTACACAACATTTAAAAATACAATCCAGTCAAGCACACCCTAAATTTTGGCTAAAAGGTGTACTTGAATAGGTCCATATTTTATAGTAGTCTTAAAAAAGTTGATTCAATGAATTATTTTTATTTCTGAATTTTAAATTTGTTTTATTAAACTGTATAAGGGAAAGTATTGCTCTATCTATTAAGCATTGACTTTATTTTGGTCAAGCAGATGACAAAAAAATATTCTAAATCCAGATTTCCCCATATCCTACCTTAGGATTTCCCAACTGAAGTGGTTCATCTGGAAAAGGTGGAATTTACAGAACAGGTAACAGGTCTGTGGAATCGGAACAAATATTCTGACCTTCGATCTGTTAAAGTTCGATCTACAAGAGCCAGGAAAGAGTGGCAGTGTCGATAGCGCCTGTTATCCAAATAAATCAGGGAACCAGTTCAAGAAAGACAAACTTTTTGTGACCTTGAAGATGCAGGTCATGCAGAGCTTTGCTGAATGAAAACACGTCAGTACGACAGGAGCATGTTGTTGAAATGATTTCAATATATATGGTAAACATTTAGTTAAAACAAGTGTGAGAACAATGTACGTTTAAAGAGGGACTGAATTTTTTTTTGGGGGGGGGGGGGGGGGGGGGGGGATGGGGATAGGGTTTAAAGGTTGATAAGGGACCACCATTTGATTTTTATGGGGGCTAGGATGAAAAATTTTGTACTTCATTTTATTAGTTGTAATGTCTTTCCTCAGCCGCAGCCTTTGTATTTTTCACTCTATTCGGTCCTGCCTTTTTAAATTTTTTGTATTAAAATTGAGAATGGATAAGGGGATTATTGTGTCAAAGAGACAACAACCCGACCAAAGAGCAGAAAACAGCCAAAGGCCACCAATGGGTTTTCAACATAGCGAGAAAATTCCGCACCCGGAGACGTGCTTCATCTGTCCCTTTAACAAAAATGTGTACTAGACTTTCATTAGTTTATCTTGACTTTTTTTTTCCATAAATAGTCATCCTGCCTTTTTTTGGGCCAAAGTGACAGTCTCAGCACGCCTTTTTATTACTCAAACCCCTGTCCTGCCTTTTTTTTCAAATTTCATTCTGATATTTTTTTTTTATTATAGTCTAGTTGCATCATGTTTATTATTTGAACAGAGTATGTTGAAGTTTGTTGAAAAATTTGCCGAAAAATTTGTATTTACTGCAACCAAAAATGAAATATAAATTATTTTCCTTTAATTTGCATAGTGGAATACTGGAATACAGAAATTGTCTAAAATGCAGGTTGCGGGTTTAAGTATTAGATATACCACGAGGGCATTAGCATGAGATGGTGTATCTAATTTACACAATTTTATGATCAATGTTAATTTTAGGCAGGGTATCCAACTACATTCTAAAAACAACATTCTGGTGTAAATAAACTTACACCTATAAATAGAAATCTATCAATTTACATTAATCATAATATCCTGAGATGTAAATGCACTTAATTGGTCTAACACCCTCAGGGTTTATCTAAGATAAATACATACACTTTCTGTTCGAAAAGAGAAAACTTAACAAACATTTGGGTAAAACTTTCATCAAATGCATAGAACATACATATTAAAACATCAAGACTTGACACAGTTTTTATATAGTGGTAAAGACTTATTGCCTTTTAACTCAATGTGGGTTTCTGGATTTTTTTAGCTTTTTAGTTCTATTGCATTCATAGCAAGGGTCCGTCTCAAAAGTCTACCTATTTTAAAGTCTTGTCTTAAAAGACTGTGTTTATACGCTATGATAGATATCTTTTTGTCAACCGTGTAACGCGTTGCGGGGGGACATGGAAATACCGGGCGTCCGTCCGTCCGGTTCGAAAATGGTGAACGATCGACTTTTTTGAAAAGAGTTATGCCCCTTAAAAATATTAAATATATGGAAAATGGCCTCGTTAGCGATCTCACGGGTACAATTCTTGTCAGATTTTTATAAAACTTGTACTATTATATAGGTTGATATCAGCAATATCTCGGACAAGTTCTAAAATGGTGGACGATCAACATTATTTAAAAAAGTTGAGTCCCTTGGAAATATTAAATTTATGGAAAATGGGTACAATTCTTGCCATATTTTTTTTTTAATTTATTTTTTATTGTTTTTGTAATAATAAGAATTCATTTAAAACTTTAACTATAATTCTCAAAACTTTACTCCATATGTTTAACTCTATTCCCTTGACTTGTTAATGTAAAATCAAATAAATGCAAATGGAAAATGGAATGCAGGTGAGCTTATAAATATTATCCCTGCTTGAAATTTGGGGAGGTATATACTTAAGAAACAGGATGTCCGCCTCCTTCTTAAAAAAATAAATACATTTTTTACTTTTAAATCATTAGACAAATTGTAAATGGACAATTGCAACAGAACAGACTCAAGGTTTTGGGTCTTTACATAAATAAAAACAGAATTGGGAAGTAAATTATTTTGTTTGTTTCTTGCACTAAATTTATTATGTTCATGCAAGAAAATGCATATAATTATATAGAGCTTATAATTTCTTAGTATTAGCCTCAAAGATGTTGAATGTCAACTGGAAGGAATTTAATTGTTTATGTAACTAGATTAAGATAGATTAATGTGTTCCATAGAACCTGTTCAGCCTATATGTCAATTTGAAGTTTTTATTACTTTAACTTCACTAGAATCAATGTTTAGAACTAATAATAGCAATTGAGCGGTATGATAAGCATCAAAAGATACATGTATGTGTATTAAAATTATGATTATTGAATTTGAAGATTATGATAAAAAAAAAAAAAATACTTCTACCCTACAGTATGTGTACTGTAAGAAATAATTTAAATTTATCAGTCATGGGGTAGATTTTATATGTATTAATTCCCCTAATATGACCTTTTTACATATATAATATTTATATGTGTGACCTGCAACCCGCAACCTGCTACCTGCAACCTGCAAAATAGCACTTCCCTGGAATACATTGTACTTATCTTATTGATATTTGTTAACAATTTTATTAATTCTGGTTAGTCAATTTGATAACAATATAAATTTATATCTTTTTCAAGTTTTAAAATTTGTACATCATTGTTTTTACTCATTCCAAGCTGACTCATAATATAGCTAGTTTATCAAAATAAAATGTTGTTTTAATAATTTAATCCATTACAACAATCAGTGAGAATTATTATTTTGAACAATTAATGCTCTAAAACAAATCTTAAGCCAACAACTTTTAAATATAAATTTCTATGTGTTTTCATAAATTTCCAGAATTTATACCATATAAATATCTGAATAAGTTTTTTAAAGTTTAATACCCATAAAACAATATGTTTTAATAGAAGTAGGGAGAGACCCTAGGTGAACGGAGTCTATGGGCGAACGAACTCAGGGCGAACAGACCCAGGGCAAACATGTAATCAGGGCGAATGGATTTTGTAAATGCGATTTACATTCTTAAATGAACAGGCTATACATCAAAGAATATAATGTAATAAAACCTCAATCTTTATCCAAATCTTCATATTGTATATATATATTTAATTTTCTTTCCTGTTTCAATCAAACATAATTATATACCTACTTTTTGTGTAGTCAAAGAACAAATATAAATTTCTTCTCTTTATTAAGTGGGTACAATCTTTTTTTCCTTTATTTTGTGTCTGCTTATATTGACATTTGAATCAATAATGTCAAAAACATAATACAAGCAATATTCCAGAAAACAGTTGGGCACTCAAGAATATTTAATTCTATTCATATGATCATGTATATTATCATATAGACATGTATAATATATATTTTTGTCTGAAGTCATTATTTGGGTCAAAACAAAACAAAAATATTCTGAACCTGTGTGAAGTTCAGTAAATAATGATTTAGTACATGTATACCAGTAAATATATATGTAAATGTTAAAAAAGACAACCAACTGCTTGTCAATAACATGTTTAGTTAAAATGGATAAATTTCATGTAGATATATGTGTATTCTGACATGTACATTTGTAGCCTCCATAAAAACACTTAAGTGTAACACTTCAGCTGTGATCTCCTATAATGTTACTGTTCCACAACATTTTAGGGTCAGAGAAACTTAATGCTTGATTGGGAGCAATTATTTGTGGTCACTAAAACTAAGGAAATTTATTGCTTTTAATTGATTGACCATGTGCAGCCGGTAAGAACATAATCAGCTGATTTACTAATAACATGAGTCTGAGTGTCAAAGTTTCTCCTTTTCCTTTTATTCTTTAGATTTGTTTACTAATTATTGACTATGCATGGTGAAAAAGTTTAAGCTACTTTTTTCTGCCTTTGTTATTTATTTGGTCAGACACCCTTATGGAAAAATTAGGCTTCTTGCAAATATTTGCGGCAATGTTGCTGCAAATATTTGCGGCAATATTGCTGCAAATATTTGCGGCAATATTGCTGCAAATATTCATTTTTCGTATGTAAATTAGTTTTCTTGCAAACAGTTGCTGCAATATTGCCGCAACAATTTGCGGCAATATTGCAGCAAATGTTTGCGGGAAAATCAGTAGCTATGATTGTTGCAGCAATATTGCGGCAAATTCATTAGCTGCAATGTTGCAGCAATATTGCAGGAAAATTAATTTCTTGCAATATTGCAGCAAATCTTTCAACAATTTCAGTTGAAAAATTAGGAATTAAAAACTAAGCATTTAAAAAGTATGATTTAATAATAAAACACAATTTTCTCTGTCCTCTATAGGTTGTTACATATCTGTGTATCCTTTAGTTCTGTTTCTTTATACTCACTGTCCTTAAAGTTGAATTTTCTGATTTCAAATACTGCAAAATAAAAGTTGAAGAATTTAGCATACATTAAAAGAATAACTAAACATTATAAAGATATAAAGATATAAGTTACTACTATATATTGTAAATTCTGGACTTGTAAAATGAAAATAACTCTTTATAAAGAGATGATTACAGACCAATTTTTCCAGCATTTGTTTCACTTAAAGGGTCAATGTCTAAAAGTGATCAAGTCCTTCTAGAAATTGCATATTACTATAGAATACATTTAACCTTATGCCAGTACTAGGTTGTTATTGCTTTTTTGAATATTTGTTTTTCATTGAACTATAACATAATTGGTCTTGTCTATTCTTTAAAATTTTTGTGATTAGTTGTGTATATATAAAAGCTAAATATTGTTGCCATTTGTTGATAGACCTCTTATTGGCAGTCAAATCACAGATCT